ACCACATAAGATAGTTATTTTATGTGAAATGAGAGTAATATTTTCCATTTATTTATCATAAATATTTTATTATAAATGTTTGAAAGTCATATATACATAAAAATCATGAGATAATTTTATCTCATGCACCCACATAAAAGCATGTGGGTTCATATTTTCTTATTCTCTTTCTTCTCTTTACATGACCCTACATTATTTATCATAAATATTTTATTATAAATGTTTGAAAGTCATATATACATAAAAATCATGAGATAATTTTATCTCATGCACCCACATAAAAGCATGTGGGGTTCATATTTTCTTATTCTCTTTCTTCTCTTTACATGGCCCCACATGGGACCCACACACTTTTATGTGTGTATAGGAGATAAAATTATCTCTTATAACAAGAGAAACATTAACCCTTTAAATATTATCAACAAGCAATAAACGTTTGACAAGTTGTTTTGATTAATTGTATCCTTGAAAAAATATAAGTTGTTTATTGTAAATAAAGCATATGAACTATAATCATAAATAGCTAAATGATATGGAAAAAAATAAAAATAAAACTAGTTTTTTCAAGAGAATATTATAACTCTTTTTAGAAAAAATTCCTCTAAAATAAGTAAGCGTGTTCTTATTTTTAAATTGGGGTAGGATATTGTAACAACTAAGTATAGTTACTATCAATCAATTTCACCGTTAGATTGATTATTTTGATCCGACGGTTCAGTTTGATACTTACATAGCCCCTTTTTCTTCCTTTCTCTCTCTTCCCTTCTCTCCCTCTCATTATATTCTCTACACATAGCCGCCGCCGCGCCGCTGCCATCGCCGCTGTCGCTGTCCCTCTCACTCTACCGCCTCGTCGCTGCAGTTAATCACTCGAGTCATGGAGCATTACTAATCACTGCAGCAAAAGGAAGAAAATCACTGCAGTTTGGAGAATTACTAATCACTTGAGTCATGTGTTTTCTTAATCGCTGCCTAGGGGTGCTAAACGAGCCAGGGGCCTTTGGCTCGGCTCGTGAAGGCCTGAGCTTACATGTCTAAAATTGATTGTTAGACCCAGGCTTGGACTTGTATAAAAGCTAGTTTAATAAAAAGGCCTCAGACTCCAATTCAAAAGCTCGGCCTTAGAGCCTCTCAGGCTTGCCTAATATATTATTTTTTTATTTTTTATACTACTTGTGATAGCCCTCTCTCTCTTCTCAATTCATTTCATCCCATTTTATTAATTAAATAGACTTTTTAAATGATTTTGTTTTATATTATGCTATTTGGATATACATTAAATTTATGAATATTTATGGAATTACTAGTGCTGTTGATTGTATATTTTGTTTGGATAAATTTTTGTTGTCTTATTTTTTTTAAACAGGCTAAACAAGACTTTTATTTTTTGTAAATGAGCCAGGCCACATGCTGATATTATATTCGTAACAGGTAACAGGCTAAGGCCAGTCTCACACATTTGAACACAGGCTCAGCCCGTTAAGACCAAAACTCGGCTCGTTAACACCCCGACGCTGCCCATCGCCTTCAGCCTCCATTGGCAAAATAAAATAAACCCTAATTTATTTAAGAATTCATGATTTTTATATTAAAATTCAGTAAAATAAGCTAAAACAAAGACAAAGGCTGTAAAATTTGATTTCATTAAGATAAATACAACGGGCATCTAAAAGTGGCATCCAATTCTGACCGCAAAAAAAAAATTCTTGTCACCCCTTTTCTAATTATATACTCTAAAAAGGATTAAAGGCGGCGACGAAGAGGTAGAGAGTGAGAGGGGCAATGGAGGCACGGAGGTGGTGATGGGCAGCGACACGGCAGCGGCGGCGATGATGGGCAGTGGCGGCGGCTATGTGTAGAGAATATAAGTATCAAATCTGAACCGTCGGATCAAAATAACCAATCTAATAGTGAAATTGATCGGTAGTAACATTGGTAGTAACTATACTTGGTTGTTACAATATCTTACCCCATAAATATATAAAGTTTAAGGTAATAATAATTAACATGATTAAAATAAAGGGAATAATGTTTCTCATATATGTGGGATATATATTTTCCTTTTTTCTCTCTTTTCTCTTTAATAGCTTCATATAAGTCTCACACACTTTTACATGTGTATTTAAAAAATAAAATTATCTCTTACAACATAACATAAGAAACATTAATCCCGAAAATAAAACGTATATAATTATAAAAATAAAATAAAATTTTCTTTTTAGAAAAGCAGAGTTTTGGGATAAAAAAGAAGAAGAAGGAAAGGACGTAAGCCTGCGTTCATCTGCGAATCATTGTCTTAATTTTATTAAAATTTGATCTATTTTTTGTATGTGATTTCCATTCTCAGCTTCTATCTTGTATGAAGAAACAACGTTAATTTTCACTCATTTTTGTATGAAGATTATAGCACTCATCATCCCTTTATCCTAGTTGTTTGTTATTAGATTAATGTATCTTTATCTTAGTTGTTTAAAGAGAAAAAAATATCTAATGTTACTTTAGACAAATTTTTCGAATTTTCACCGAAACGACATCATTTTTGGGTTGAAAAATTAAAATGGTAAAAGCTATTATAACTCTGAAATAAATTTAAATTACAAATACACTATGATTTTCGCCTCAAAACAATATCGTTTTGGTGAACATTAGACAAAGTTATCTAAAGCAAACTTTAAAAAAAATGAACCCTTGTTTAGAGTATCAACAATGTGCACAACAATTATACTGCAATGCAAGAAACATGCCAGATGATTAAGCTGCTTGCTCAAAGGATAGATCGAGGAGAATAAAGAAATTGCAACCATCAAATTCAAAAGGCATTCCGTGGATATCTATTGAAACTAGCTACTCAACAACCAAAAGGGTATTCTTGGGCAATGTCACAATGCTACTTCCGGTTGCCGGATTTGATGAAATTGACCTTATTCAAGGATTTGAAGATATGCATTTATAGCAAATAAAGGATTTCCTTATATTATGGCTAATTTCAAAATTGGATTCGATGTTGGTTTTTTGGTTAGGATGTCCAACGGAGAGTTTGGAAAAACATTTAAAAATGACAATACTCTCAATAGGTTCCAAGTGAGGTAGTTCATGCAACTCCGCTTGATACCTACCCTTCGTGTATTGCAAACACAATGATTCGTCTTTGATACTGGCGGAGGCCCACCTCAATCTTGAAGACGAGATTGTTTTGAAGGGCTATGGAATGTAGCGATTAATATTTATCATTATTCTTTTATCCTAGTTGTTTGTTATTAGATTAGTTTATCTTTATTTTAGTTGTTTAAATTATCTTATTAGGAGTTATCGTATGAGTGTTATTAATTTTAAATTTAAATTAGTATTTCGCCATCTTTGTTAAAGTTATAATTCTATATATTATTAGCTTATTGATCACATAAAAAAGAAGAAAATATTGGAAGTCTCTCTCTTAATGTCTCATTATTTTTCTTAATCCTCTCTTCCCAATCTCTCTGTGTCTGATTTCTCTCTATGTTTCTAATTTTGTTTCAAACAAAGATCCGTGATTTGAGTGCGACCTCTGTTGGATTGCCATCGCTTTCACCAATCCATTTGCTTCTGAGATGCCTTCAGGCTAGGAGTTACTACTTAGCATGCCTAAATCATTCTTGTAATAAAACTATATTAAATAATACATTTTCAGAATTATACTAGTAAGAAAAATACATTTTTGCCAAATTATATGTTTATAACTGATTAGTATAATAAAATATATAAAGTCACTTAATTACATTTACAATCATTCTTAAAACTATTCATTTCTTCAATAAATGATTATATAGGAAGGGTGATTTCGGATTTGTTTGATATTGTTTTTTTTTTAAACTGTTTTTTAAAATAGTTAATAAAATAAGTGTTTTTTATTTTTATTTTTATTTTGAAAGTTAAAAGTTAAAACACAAAATAAAAATAATTTAGATATGTTCTTTAAATTTGATTCTAAAAATTAAAAAACAGTCATAATTTTTAGAATTATTTTTATAAAATAAGCCTTATTAAATATTTTTTTTTTGAAAATCAAAAAACTATTTTTGAAAACAAAATTCAAACACGCTCTTCATTTGCCCTATATTGATTTAATTTCATTTCTCCACAAATTCAAACAGGGTTAATCTATCCTGTAGTTGCATTTACAATTCAACTAAGGTAGTTAGTAGTTACTCCTTACCCACGTCTCTCTGATTCATTTTTTATGGTTAATTCATTAATGCGAAAAGTGTTTTTACCGGTAAATAAAATTATAAAAGGTATTTTAAAAAATGAAAATAATAGTCTCATGTTGCATAACATACCTATCTTATGTCATACACTTATAGAATTTCATGCTAATTTTTTCTTTTTTTTTTAAATTGTGGACTCTACATATTTGTGTCACCCACGTGAGAGTACTATCTTATGTAACATGAGATTAGTAAATCCGTTTAAAAATTCATATTTTTATCGTAGGCGCCTACGACCATTTTATGGAGGATTAAAATTTAAATAGTAGCCTCCTTAACCAAATGAGGTTAGACATTATGAAGTTTTAGAATGAAGAATATTTTACTCTAATGTATTTTAATCCACTTGAGGTGACTTCACTTTGGTCTCGTGCATTCATTATTGTCATATAAAGCTCCTTTTACGGCTACCATAAACAGGCTCCTCATCTTTAACTGGTAACATACGCTCACGTAGAGAGAGAGAAGTAAATATATCCAAAGTCGTAAACTAAAACCATTTCTCTAAAATTAACTCGGTTTGTTTGGATTATTCTAATAATTGCTATATCTTCTCCCTAACTCATTTCTCAATCTAACCATCCCCAACTGCAAGCAAGCTGCAACCATGAAAGAGACTACTATTACTAGCTCAGCATAATGCACACCAGATTTTCAATTCACAACAAAAAAAAGTCACAAAACTTTTAGCACCAATCTGTGCATTCTTCCTTCCTCTTCATTCTATAATCCTTCTCTCTTTCTTATTCTCACAGACAGCACAACACAAACCGACAAAGTCACAGACACCAACAACAAACACCTCTCTCTCTCTCTCTCTGGGAGTCTCTCTATCTTTCTATCTTTCTTTCTTCCACTCCTCAAATCTTCATTACATTACATTACATTACCCATTTGCCCCTCACATTGTCACTCTTAACTAATGTCTCTCTTTTACACTTTCACTTTCCCCTTCTTCTTCTTCCTCCTCTTATTGTGCATCATCACCACCTCCACCACTCTCACTTCTTCTTCTTATTATGGTAAGAACCTCTAATCTCTCTCTTAAACTCACACTCTTAAATCTTAACACTCTTTCTTCCTTTTTTTTTTTTTCTTCACAGGTTTCTCTTATCACATAGATTGCGGTACTCCCACTAACACCACCGATCTCTTCAACACTACGTGGCTCTCTGACCGCTTCTTCACCGGCGGCGCCACCGCAATCGTCTCCGAGCCCCTCCGCTTCCACCAACCTCAAGAGAAATCTCTCCGGTTCTTCCCTATCTCTTCCGGCAAGAAGAATTGCTATGAAATCCCTTCCCTCTCTTCTTCCTCACGCTACCTCATTCGCACCTTCGTCGTCTACGACAACTACGACGGCAAGTCTCACCCTCCTTCCTTCGACGTCTCCGTCCGCGGCACCGTCGTCTTCTCCTGGCGCTCCCCCTGGCCTCAATCCCTCGCTCGCGACGGCGCGTACTCAGACCTATTCGCTTCCATTCTCACCGGCGAAGCCCTAGTTTGCTTCTACAGCTTCGCCACCGATCCTCCCGTTGTTTCCTCGCTTGAAATTTTCGCCGTTGATCCGGAATCCTATGGTTCCGCCTCCGCCGGCGACGACGGAGTTATCCTCGTGAACTACGGACGGTTGTCCTGCGGGTCGGACCAGTGGGGTCCTGGCTTGACCAACGATGTGGACCGGTTCGGCCGGTCTTGGCAGTCAGATTCGGAGTTCCGAACGAGCTCCGGTGGCGGCCGCGGAAGGTTGATTGTGGTGTCGACGAGGAATGATGTTAGCGGGACTGATCAGAAGCCGAATTACTTCCCGACGAAGCTGTACCAGACGGCGGCGACGACGGCGATGACCGCAGAGGAGGGCGGAGGGATTTTGGAGTACGAATTGAACGTGGACGCGAAGCTGGATTACTTGATGTGGCTGCATTTTGCGGAGATTGAAGGGAGTGTGAGGAGGGCGGGGGAGAGGGTGTTTGACGTGTTCATCAATGGTGAGAATTTGACCAGGGTTGACATATACAAGCAGGTGGGGGGTTTTGCTGCGTTTACTTGGCATCACACGGTCAAGAATTTGAGTAGTAGTGTGATGAGCTTGAAGCTTGTGGGTGTTGTGGGTGCGCCTCTCATTTGTGGGATTGAGAATTATGCTTTGGTCCCCACTGATCCTTCCACTGTTCCTCAACAAGGTGGGTGTAATCTCTGCCGAAATTTAGAGAGGGTTTTTATTTTTTTAGATTCCGTGCAAATTCGGAAACTTTGATGCCCAAAAGGAATCTGATTTTGATTTTCTTCTTTGTTTTCTTGTAAATAATTGTGTGTGTGACTGTGAATCGAAGTCATGAATTGGTTTGTAAACGGAAATTTAGGTAGGGAGTTGTGATTTATGAAATTTGTGCAAATATAGTTACCAATTATTTAGGTGATTGTTGTTGTTGTTGTGTGTGTGTTTTTGGGTAATTATTTTTATTTACTGCTGTTAACACTGGGGAAGGAATGACATGGTCAAAATTTTGTTGACTGAAGAGCAACCACCCAAGAATTGTGGTCGCTTAATGACTTTTTTTTTCTTCTTCCGGCTTTGGCTGCAGTGATTGCCATGAAAGCATTGAAAGATTCGCTTCGGGTTCCTGAAAGAATGGGTTGGAATGGTGATCCTTGTGCTCCTACCAATTGGGATGCTTGGGAGGGAGTTACATGCCGTATGAGTAAGGATAATACTGCTCTGGTGATAAGTCAAATGTAAGCATTCCTTTCCAGTCTCGTAAGTTATGCAATTGAGCTTCTAATTGGCTTTATGAAAGATAACTAGTGCTACGTATACAAGGAGTCTTAACAATTCTGTTAATAATTGATATGTCAAACTTTATGTGTAAGGTTTAATGGTGGGGTAAATTTTCTTAGTTATTGGCATCTCAAACGTTATGTGTGAAGTTAATGGTGGGGTAGGTTCCATGTGCTAAATATAGGGATGGTGGGTGAATCTAAAGTGCGCATGATGATATCTTTGTGGCCGTATCATTGTATCAGAAAGGTTTCTTCTTCTTTTTTGTACAAAACTACAAATAGTATTTTCCTCCGATACTAATTATCCTGTCAAACACCTTTTGGGCTTATCAACACTCCTTCCGCCGAAAAGCTTGGTTAGGTAGTGGATTATGGGTTCAACTCCGGTTCTACAAATGCATATTTAAATTTCTGAAACCAAAAATAATAATAATAATAATAATAATAACAAAATAAAAGAAAATAATAATGGTTGAACAATAGTTCTTCTCCCTTTATTTAATTTCTTCGTTTAATTTATTTTTCTCTCCTAAAGCTTTGACTATAGCTTTGTTTCAATTTCCATTCAGAGATCTGGGCAGTCAAGGCTTGAAAGGGTTCATTAGTGACCAGATTAGTCTTTTGTCAGACTTGGTAAGCTTGTAAGTATCAGCTGCCAAATGTTTACGTATGCAAGTCATCTTTCACATCATGTGGCTTGGATGTTTTTGGTTAACATGTACTAAGACGTAGTTGCATCAATTGAAGTCGGTCTATAACATTTCCCCTTGTTTGAAGTGCTTTGCGGTTTATATGTTCAAGCGGTAGTCACAGTCTGCAGTTATTATTGTGCTCTCATTATATTTTGTGTGGCTTATCTTGGTTTCTTCTATCAAAACAATATGAATTATTCATTTTCAAAATGATCAGCTTTGGTTCGTTCCACATTTTTTTTCCCCATTATGGTGGCTACAATCATGTTGACAGAATCATGATATACAAAAAGTTCTTTCTACTTTATACCCGATGAACGAAAATGGACACTATTCTCAATTTGTTTCTGTCGTTAACATCATCATTAGAATTCCTTCAATATTCTGTGCCACCCTCAATCTTATATATATATATAGGTAAAATCATTTCTGCAGCCACTTTACGTACAGCAACGACAGGTGTATGGTTATGATTCCCCTCATTTAATGTTTTCATCTTTTGTATGGTTATGATTCCCCGCATTTAATGCTTTCAGTATATATATGGCAAGTATTTGATTGCTGCACGTACAACAGCTGCAGGAATGTAAACCCCATATATATATATATATGTGGGGCAAGATCCTTTGACACCGGTGTCAAATTTTGAAATTTGACACCAAATCCCAATCGTTGATTTTCGCCAATCAATGGTTATCATTTATTGGAATTAATAATTAATTAATAACTGTAATTCTCAATAAATGATAACCGTTGATTGGCGGAAATCAACGGTTGAGATTTGGTGTCAAATTTCAAAACTTGACACCAGTGTCAAATGATCCTATCCCTATATATATATATATATATATATATATATAGATAGATAGGAGAGGGATATTTTGACTCCAGAGTAAGACTTACAAGTCTTACTTTCCATCTTAACCGTTGATTTCCGCCCATCTAATGGTTATAGTTTAGGAAGTCGTACTAATTAATTAATGGGAAAAGTATTTCTTCAGTCACCGAAGATAAAGTTATCTCCAGTGAGCTCAAAACGACGTCGTTTTGGGGTTATAAGTAGGGGTGTTCGCGGTCTGGATTGGATCGGTTTTGGAAGCAAAACTCATCCGATCCAATCCCTTCGGTTTGATCATGTAATCATCCATTCGGTTTAGATTTTTTTTCAAATCCGATCCGATCCAATCCAATTTTTTTCGGTTTGGATTGGATCGGTTTTCGGTTTTTTGAATATCCTAAAATTAATTTCATGAAATTGTGCAAATAACATCTTTTGTATATATTGGCTTTGTAAAAAAAAAAAATTGAAATACAAAAATATCAGTAAACAATATTATAGTTGATGAGACGTGACTAAGTTTTTTTTTGGGTTTAGTTGATGAGTTAATGAGTCTTGAGTTTAGAAATTTTTGGGCTATGATTGGAGAAAGGACAAGTAGGTAGAGGATAATTAATATATTGGATCGGTTTGGATTGGATCGGTTTTCATCAACCCATCCGAAAACCGATCCAATCCAATTAAAATTTGCGGTTTTCTTTCGGTTTCCGATTTTTCGGTTTTCGGTTTATTCGGTTTTCGGTTTTTCGGTTCGGTTTTCGCGGTTTGGATCGGTTGATGAACACATTAAAAAATTATAATGACAAAGACTAATATAACCCTGCAATATATTATAATTACAAAAACACCTTGATTTCCGCCCCAAAACGATGTCGTTTGGAGCTCACTGGAGATAACTTTATCTCCGGTAACTGGAGAAATCCTTTACCTTTAATTAATTATTAATTACACAACAAATGACAACCGTTGATTTCCGTCCATCAACGGCTGGGATGAGGAGTAAGACTTTTAAGTCTTAATCTGGAGTCAAAAGAACCCTCCCCATATATATATATATATATGTATGTATATGCCTTCATTATTTATAATAGTGTACTGCACAATGTACATGCATTTTGGCTACAATTTTGGATCCAGATGCCTGTATGGTATACATCTGTACTATATTGTTATTCAATAAGTTTATGCTTTCAGCATGTATGATCCTAGGCAAACTTTAGTCTTGTTTTATATTGGTTTGAATTATCCGGTAGCTTCTCTTTAATTTCGCAGGAACTTGAGTTCTAATTTGTTGGTCGGTGAAATACCTTCTGGACTGGGTCAAAAATCCTTGATACACCTGTAAGTTTAGGGTTTTTTATATGTTATGCAAAATGCTTTACAGAATTCAACTGACTGGAGTCCTTTATTTGATTAGTTGATAATATGCTTCCAAGTTTTTAACTTGCTGAAAAATCATATTTTATAAGATATTTCTTTGACTTAATTTTGCCATTATACTGAATATTGAAGATAAGATGTTAATTATGATTTCTGAGAAGGTATGTGCAACGACACATTGTATCAGAGATTGTGATCAAGTGGTCACGAGTTTGAACTTACCATCCCCATTTTTTAATAAAACTTAAAAAAGTAAGTTAAAATTAGCATAGGGTAAACCAAAAATGAGCTTGTGCATTATCTACTCTACAAGCCCAAGGGCTCTTGTGTGGGGTGTATTTGAGATATTAATATAAAATCATTAATATGATCATTATTTACCAATTTAAGTTTTTGAGTTGAATTGGTTGCTTTACAGTAACCCCCTCCCCTTGCTTGACCACCATTCTTGCTATCACTGTTTCTGGAATACTTTGCTCATCCGAGTGCACCTACGTACCGTTTTGTATAGTTGTCTCCACTAATTTGTTCTCTACAAATTTCTTGAGTTTAGATACATGGAAAATGGATGGATTCTTGAAGTTTTAAGGAGTTGGAGTCTATATGCCACTCTTCACACCCTGTCAGCAACTTCAAAAGGGCTATAGTATCTAGCAGCCAACTTTTGATGGACTCCCTTTGCTACTTTTTGTTGCTTGTGTGGTCCCAATTTCGCAAAAACCAAATTTCCTACCTCGAAATTCACCTCTTCTCAATTGTGTGATAGTAGGAGGTTTTCGACCATAAACTACCTCAGAAGGGTTAGTGTTAATAGTGATATGCCCAAGTTATCTGAACTGCCCATTGCTTAGGTTGCTCTATTGCAAAGCATCATAGGTAAGTTTCCAAACACCTATCGATTACCTGGGTTTGTCCATCTATCTCTGGATGATAGGCTGAGCTCATTCTAAGCTTCATCCCTTGGTGTTTAATCGATTATATTATATTTCTAACATGCCGCCATGATAGCCTTTTGGGAAGGGTGGATAATGCACAGGTCCACCTACCATATGCTAAGAAGTTATACAATATTTATTAGAAGAAAGGGGTGGCATGAATCAAACTCTAGACTACTTGGTCATAGAGGTTCTAATACCATGTCATGAACCAACTCTCAAGAGTTTAAGATTTTGGGATAGTTGGTTAATGATAGGGTTAGACTTGGGAAATCCTCTCTCACACTACAACTAAACAGTCCTAGTATGAGTGAGACCTTGATCATGTCACAATCCAAATCTTCCAAAAGCTTAAACTGTTAGGTGAATGCACATGAATGATTTTTATATTATATCTGTACCATACTCATTTTGATTTGTCAGAAGTATTCCTGGCTACAAATCTGTTGTGTGGGCAAAACAATTAATTTTTTGGTCATCCTTTAATTTAGTCCCAGTTAACCTCTTAGGGACAAATTTCCCCGAAATTCTATTATGATCTCCCCCTTCCTCTTCTCATCTCTCTATAACTAATTTTGCCAACTCACCCTCCTTCTCTCTTTCTTCCCTTCCCATAACATCATCCTTCATTCCCCTCCTTCACGTGTTCCTTTTCTATTCCTAGTGTAAACCTTCCAAGATTTAGGCATTACAAACTTGATATATTAATTGGCCCATAGCCTCTTCACTATCTATAAGGAAGATTCCTATCATCCTTCATTGATAATTAAATGCAATCAGTTTCATCATTTTAGGAGCCAATTTGTTGTCATTTTAAGGTACAATATGATGGCATAAATTTAAACTGAATGATCAAGGTGGTCTCTTTTTAGTCATTTTCCCTTACATCTCCCTCTATTTCTTTCTTTACCTATCTTTTTTCTTGTCTTTTCTTTTATTTCTCTTTTTTCCTCTCTATTTTTCTTCTCTTATTTATTCATTTATTGTCTTCTTTTTTCTTTTTCTTTTTTTATTTCTTTCTTTCTTTAGTTTCTTTTCTTTTCTTATTTTTCTCTTATTTATCTTTATTTTCACTTTATTTTTTAAATTTTTTTATTGCTTTTTTTATTTCTAGTGTCATATATATATATATATATATATATATATATATATATATATATATATCCCTTTTTTTCCTTTAATCTTTTCATACTTTTCATTTGTGTTCATTTGCCATCGGCCCAACTAGTTTGGAATAAATGTGTTGTTGATCAATTTGATGTATCATTCATTTATAAATGGAGGACCAAAATGGACGTTTACTTGAATATTATAATATATCCATATTCTATATGTATTTCTTGCATAGTTAGATTTTGGAGTCACTCATTGATTTAAAATTTTCTGAAAAAAGAATAATTTGTGTAAATGTTATGATGCAGCTCTGATCTATATCAAATAAATCTGGCATTGTTATTTATTTTAACATTTTACCTGTTTTCTTTGTAATGAATACTTTAGGGACTTGTCCAACAATCAGTTAGCAGGCTCCATTCCAGATAGCATAGCCTCTTCAAGTTTGCAGCTTGTGTAAGTATCCATTACATTATATTTAGGGTTTTGTTGATATGTGCCTTTAGGACACAGTTTAAGGAATCAAATAAAAACTGTTAAATGAAAAGTTTAAACATTTAATATCTTGAAAATCTAAAAAGCATTTAATACTTTCTTCTTAAAACATTTAATACTGTGTCTTTTTCCTAATGCTTAGATAAAGGTGGTGACAGAAATAAGGTGCTGTAATTTAATAGGAACCAATGTTCTATTGATAAATCCAACAGAGATTAGCTCCTTACAAGAATAGGAAATACAGAAAATAAAAGATAAATCTGGAGTTCTGCAGATGCATTGAACCTCTATCTAAGCCCATTCCTCTTTTTTTGCCATATATGCTCTTCATTCGCTACATATCCTTCCCCACTTATATTCTCATTTCTCTTTCTTGGTAATGTAAATAGTATTTAGGTTCATTGTATTAGTAATGTCTACATTCCTTAGATAGGCTAACAAAATCATGTTTTTGTAGTAATTAGGATATCTAGTATCTTCGTAATTATTAATTTTCACCTATATAATGCAGCCTCAATTGTGTAGCCCAACACACGAATATCACTAAATATATCTCATTTCCTCTTCCCTTAACATTGTATCAGATCTGAATCTGTGCCTACTGCAGAGCTTTCTAGGTGGATGAAGATTGATACTCAGCGCCTTTATTTACAGAGTTTTCCATAACCTTATGAGTATCATTGCGTCTTAGAAGTTTGATGGAACTATGTTTGCATATTTGGGGAAGATTCATAGGGTACTACATGATTTCAGTGAGCTGCTGCCCCCTTAGCAATACGGGAGTAGGAACTCAAGTAACAAAGTACATTTTTCATGTTGTTGGCACTTTATGGTTTGCCTATGTTACGGTGCAATTATAAGCAGACAAATAATCTCCACTTAATAGCAAACAGAAGATTTTGGGAAAGAATTATCAAAGAGTGAATTACTTTCTTTATTGATTAATGAACAAAACGAGGATTCCAAGGACTCCTTCCTTACAGGGGACACTTCCCTTTTCTGAGTCACTACTCAGTATTCTCAATGAATAAACTTCCTGACCTACCTCTGAAAAGACAAGCCACTTATATACATATCACACTTGGCCCTACTAAGTGACTTCAGGAAATATTCCTATTCCTTCTAGAATACGCTTTCCAAATGGTAGGCTTATTTACAGTATTTAAATTCGTAAAAGCCTTCTCCCGTAATCAAATTTTGGGCTCACCTATTGTCCTTATTCTGAGAACAGCTTGGTCCTCCTTGCTCTAGATTCGTCCAAGCAACCCTCTGAGTGTGACATGCCTTCTTCTTTGGTGGATTCCTTTGCGTTTGTGTCTAAGAGTTCTAGTTGTGGTTGCAAATTCGACAAATCTTATCCTTAATGCGACTGTTGTGGTGCCACTAATTACATCTCTAGTAATAAATATATTTTCTCCAACATCTCTACCTTCGGTTATTTGCTTATAGTCATCTTAGCTATGGTTCTAAAACACAATCCAAAGGGGTTGGTATTACCCACCCCCTCCCTTCCGTTTCTGTTGATTCCATTCTTCATTTTCTTGGTTCTCCATTTAATTTGCTCTCCTGTAGCTGTTTGACCTATTCTCTTGATTGTGTTGTATCTTTTACTATAGATTTTGTCTATCTACAAGATTGAAGTTCAGGACGAATGATTGGCATTGGATGTGAGCCCTATTGCCTCAACCAGCTCCCTAACCTACCTCGCGTTTGCTTTGTAATGGATCCCCTCTCACCATTCATGCCTAGTTGGTTCATTTGAGTCTTGACATGTTGCAAAGTTGGTGCCAATCCTATCCAAGTTGTCTGGTTTGCCTTTTGAGTCTTATCAGCTTGGGAAACATATCGTGGTTGGTTTCCTAGTTGAGTCTACAGTTGAGCTGCATCTCCATTTGCTTTAATATATTATGATGTTTAGGGTCGTAGTCGTATTTGTCTTATTTAGATTTCAAGTATTTTGTCACTTTCATTTATGTTTATTTTTAATGCAAAACAAGTATGATTTGTTTTTCATTTTTTAAAATTTTTATCTTGAAATCAGAACTCAATTTGGTGTTCCAGTTCGAACCTTCCATAGTGATAATGTCAGTTGTTAGAGTTGTTAGAGTTGTTAGAATATCTTGTAAGAATATGTGATATGCATGATTGTGGTAGGATATCATCTAAATACTATATAATCAATTAGGATTATGTATATCAAGAATTGAATCATTGCAATTAATTCCCACACTAATATATAGAGAGACAATGTGTGGTTTGTAGCGAGCCCTCAAATTCACCCAATTAGATTTCCTCCCTAAAATTCAAGTTGGTAGTAGAGTGGGTTTTTACGTCTCTCTCTCTCCTAATGAAACCCTAGTCCGCTGTGCTCATTGCGTGGAGGCAAATCTCCGAATCACAGCCACTATTTTCTTCTGGTCATGTCTCAATACCAGCTAGTCCGTCTGCAACACCTCATTTTGACAAGCATCTGTTGGCCTTTTAATTTTCCGGCGACTGGAAAATTTTCTGGCAGGGTCCTGCAACCCTTGGATTTAGAGTGCAACATGCAGGCCATCCACATCATGTAATTGACTGTTTTATATTTTACGACAGCTGAAATTTTGTTTGGTTATCAAGACAAATATTTAGTACAATGCTAACTGCAAGAGTTTCTTAACAAGTTTAGAATGTAGAAATTTACCATCTGGGGAGTAGTCACTTGTCATCTTGGCTATAAAAATGGGGTATTTTTCTTTTTTCGTGGCTTTGAATGCATTTTCTATTCCAGACTGTTAGGCCTTTTTCTGTTTTACCTATTTTGTAGTCATATTTTTGAATACTGCCTCTGCATTTGCAAAAAAACAATCTTCGTCTATATATTTGAATGTCAGAATTTTTATTAACAGGTTTCATTACAGGTTTAAATTTGCCACTCTTGTAAGTGCATTGAAAGTATACTTGCATGTTGTGTTCTTGATATTAAATTTGGTCTGTTTACTGCTTTTGTTGTGGATCCGGGTCTTCTGGAATCTGGATCAAGTAATAAAACCTGTGCTTCAACTTTTCTAATACAAGAGTTAGTCAGTATTGAAGTAAACTGCATCTTAATATTATTATCCTGAGAATAAAAAGCTGTTTATCGTGTTTAAATTGCCTTAGTCAATGAAGCTGTTGCGGGGTGTTGAAAGTTTAGACCATTCTATTTTTCTCCTCTCCTTAAGTGGATGTACATTTTAGAAAAGAAATGGCAGATAACAGCCATAACACGTAACCACTGGTGAATGGTCTTAAAAAGGTGTCCCTTTTGCCTTCCTGACAATTTTTTAGTTTGTTTTTCTAATCCATTTTATCATGCCAGGCTATTGAATGGTAACCTATTGGAAGGAAGAGTGCCAGAGGAACTTTATTCGATTGGTGTGCATGGTGGCGCTATTGAGTATGTGACTTTAATCTAATAGCTTTACTTTAGCAGCCTCTGGGTAATGTCTATCAGGTCCTGTCTATTTTTCTTGTGTTTGTGTGTGTAGCTATCCAAAATAAATTGTTAGCAGAGCTATACCCACCTAGGCTCATGGTGTCATCTGTCATAAGCATTCAATGCTAAAGTTAGCTTCATTATCAGATCTTACAAAAAGATCCTTCTTCCCTTCTGCCTCTTTCCATTTCCCATTGTTTATTCTGCTTTGTACTGCCATTTTTGGTGTGAGGATATCCTAGTTGCATTATTCTTGTAAGTTGAAGTATATTTGATGATTTCCAAAATCTTCAACTTTACTTTACCTTCAATCTTTCTAAGGACTGACCATGCAATTGTTTTGGTCTAGGCTTTGTTTTAATGAAAAATATGCTTATAATTTGGCAAAAATCATATGATAGCCCATTGCAAACCTGTTAGTTTTACATGGATGCTCCGGCTAATATTTGGTACATCTCGGGAATTAATCAACGCTAATTGTTGCCCAAGTTGGGGGGGGGGGGGGGGGGGGGGGGGGGGTTGTAATGGGTACAAAAGTAGTCTATCACCAAAGGAAAGGATTGTGTGCTATGGTTCATTTATTAAATGTTCAGTTAAATTGAAATTAATGAGAAATAATATTTTTCGAACTTCAATTTGATTTCTTTCTGCTCAGTCTCTCTGGCAACAAAGGTTTGTGCGGTGTACCATCTCTGCCAGCTTGTCCTATGTTTTGGGAGAATGGTAGATTATCTACTCAGGGTAAAATTGCAATCTGCTTGTCGTGTCTTTTTGTTTTCTGTGTGATACTGCTGCTGGTTTATATCTACGTCAGGAGGAGAAGGAATGAATATGATTTTGCTCTGCCTCATGAACTAACATGTAAGTATGATTTCAATAAGATTCTTTTCTGTCAATCTTTATTTATTTTTTGGGGCTAACTATGGTATTGCTTTATTTGCTTTACTGGTAACGTAGTTTCTCATTTCTGTTACGCAATAAACAGAGTTTAAAATGTTCTATACTATCAGTAGAGAAGCAAGTGCCACATCATTGTAGTTAGTAGTTAAGGTGTTTTTACTAGACAAAATTTCAACTGTTTTCCAAATGGTGACCGAATTAAATCACTGATTGTGAAAAGGTAAATCCTTATTAAAGGTGAATTTTTTTGCAGTATTTTTGTTTGTGTTTCTTGTGTGGCTACTTCTACCATAAAGCTTTGTTGGCACTTTATTACCCTAGAATACCTAAACTGTTTGACTTGTATGATATAATATCCAAATTTCACCTCCAGATGAATGTTAGCATGCATCTTGCTGCTGATCTTACATTTCATATACGTCATCTTACTTTTACTTTAAACGGAAACAATGTGATTCCAAATCTTTTCACCACAACTCTAGCTTTCCATTGATTCCCTCTCTGGATTCTCCCACTAAGTGTTGGGACTTGTTCCTCCTTAAATACTTTGCCTGCTAATCATTATTTGCGAGTGTCTCCATGTCTCAAGAATGGCTCCTAATAATTTGAAGAGTGCAAGTCTCCATGCTCTGTAAATCCTCCCCAATAATTGTAGAAAGATCTAGAGCATGAAAAAAAGGACATAAACCAATCTATAAAAGAGGCAGATATCAGAATTTTTTTTGATAGACAGGAAAAAAAACAAACAAACATTGGTGAGTGTTGGAATTCGAGAGTGGGTGAGAGATTGAGAACAATCCTCTTGTGTTGTGCTAGGGGAAGAATATCTTGTAATCCTACTTTAAAACCTCTTTGCGATTCATTCTTCTCTTCTTCTTCTTAACTTGTGATATCCGACTTCCAAGTTTCAAGTTGCTAAACTTGACTTGATGACTTCCTCCTTCCTCACATGTTAGACAGACCTAGACCTAACACTAAGTGCCTGTTTGGGAGCTTTTATTTTTAGCTTATTTTCTCTTTATAAGCAGAAGTTTAGCCAAACATAATTTTACAAAAGCTCTTATCATAAAAAGAACCTTTTTTATAATGAAGAAAAAGATAAAAACTTCTAGGAGGAGCTTTTTTTAAGATGTATGTCAGCTTTTTAGAGTTGTTATATTTATTTTTCAATTTTACCATTATTTTATACTTTTATTTATAAATTTTATCATTTACCCTAATAACAAATGTAAATAACCAATTCAACCCAAAAGCTTAAGCTGGTGGGTGAGGCTACATTAATAATTATAAATATCTCTAACATGCCCCCTCATACGAGAGCCCATTGGGCTTGAAGGGTGGACAATGCACAGACCCCATATTTGTGCTAAAAAATTTCACAAGTCTTAATTAATTATTAATTAAATGGAGGCGATGAGGATCGAACCTGTGACACTGAAGCTCTGATACCATGTAAAGAACCAATTCAACCCAAGAACTTAAGCTGTTGGGTTTAAATGGCAAATCATTTCATCTTTCTCTTTTCAAAACCCTAAGAACAAATTTATATAATTATCTACCAGCTTTTAGCTTTATTTTTTAAGGGATTTTTTTTTTAACTTTATCTTAAAAGTAGCTTTTAACTTAAAAAATATATGTCAAATATGCTCTAAGAATATATAACTAAGAATATATCATCTACTAAAAGCATGCATTAAGGCGCAGGCTCTTAGATGTTGTTAGTAAGCACATCCATAACCAAGTTGAAAAGATAAGGACTCAAAGTTGACCCTTGATGTAATTCTATAGTTATGGGGGAATCCTTTGTGAACCCATAACTATTTTTAACTTCTCATACGTATCCTTGATGATCTAAATATGAAAAATATGCATACCATTGATAGCTACGCATAAGCAACACAAACTCCCTTCTTCACCAGTGCTTTCCAGAAAACTTCTCTTAGCACCTTATCGTAGCCATTTTCTAGGTCAATGAAATCCATACGTAAATCTTTTAATTTCTTCTAGTACCTCTCCATCAAACTTCACAAACCATATTTGACCTTTCCGTTATTAAACCAAATTCGGCTATGAGAATCACAATAATAAATAATCAAGATATAAAATTTCTCACATTAATAATCATTTGTCTCAGTCCATTTTAAATCTATCTCCCAACATCTTCTATCTCTTGGGTTAGGCCATTTTGTAATTTCATAAAGCTGGTAGCCCATCATATTGTCTTTGTCCTCTATCAGTGCCTTTTAATGAATGTCCTTGATTCTAAATGATATCTTCCTGCCAACACTCTATCATGTACCTTGGCATTTTTACTTGTGTACGTTCATCTTTGTCGATGTACTTTATAATATCATCATTGCAATTTTTCAGCTCTGTAATGGGCTATTTGTAGCCCAAATACTTGTATTTTACAATTTTGGTAAATTTTTATGAGTGGTAAATCAAAATGATTCTTGCAGATTCATTCTCTTAACTCAATGAAGACGACCCAATTTGAATATAATAATATATGGTTTCCATTTTTTAAGTTAATAATTAGGAAAAGACTACTTTGTTTTGAATTTTTCTTGTATAATTTTTACTGCATCAAGAATGTGGATTATTTTCTGTGTGCTTCTGCAATTAGGTAAGAATACCTTCAAACAAAAAATGCTCGGCATTAGGACTTGTCTCCGCATCCATATATAGATGTCACTTCCCCCTTGGAGGTTATAAAATTAAAAGCTTATGGTTTTTATTTCTTGTTGCCAACAATAAGGTACTTTCAGATTCACTGTCAAACCATCAAATTTTTTTATAACTGCTAATAAGTTGGGCAACTTTTCAAGTATTCGGGTGATCTCTATTTCTTAGTTCTTTGCTCATTTCATTTGCTCTATCTTTTGCTTAGCTTTTACCTTTTCAGCTATTGATACTTCATGTGCTAAGTGCTTAACAGAATATGGATCATATCTTTATCCATTGTTCTGAGCGACTTCTCAAGTTGGGGCCAATCTCCACAAGGAGAAGCTATTTAAAGCCAATCTTTTGTAGTGGCCTTGTACATAGTACCCACCAATTTGTATTTGTCTTTTAATGTTAATGTTTAGTTTCAGCCATTTAAATTCCAGCAAATGACAAGAAATGTTTGATTTTATATAGAATTATGTCTTATATGTTCGACGCTTAAAACCTCTACTAATTGTTGACTATTTTATGGTTTCATTTGCAGCATTAGCCGCCAAGAGAAACCGATATCAGAGGCAGAAATCCTTAATGGTTCTTGAAATGGAGAGTCAACACGCCAAGGGACTACCTTCACCACAACACAATAACTCTTTTTCTTAATGAAATGGAAATACAATACTGATTTTCATAGTTTTCGGCTAAACATACACCGACACAGCTTAGAGAAAGGATTTGAATGCATTGCAGCATCAATGCTCGGCCATGATGTGACAACACTGCAGCTTTAGGGGGGGAAATGGCTTCTGGGGTTTTCGCCTTTCTCGTAAAACTTTGTTTGTCTCATCAAGGATTCTGGATGTCACATACTACCATTCGTGCTATTTGTTACATTGTTTTTTGACCCATCAAGCAAAAGAATATCCCGTGATGTCAATACTGAGCCGCAGCTTTTGCTGAATATGTGATAGAAATAACAATGTATGAAATTTGAGCCACGGGTTAGTGTCCATTTTTTCATGGCAATCAATTCTGCTTGACATTTCTATCACTGTATCCTGACTTTTATAGCTAAGGAGCTGATTGGACTTTATTGTACAAGTATTACAGGTTACATTTTGGTATTCTCATTTATTTATTTTTTAAAATTATAAATTGAGCAATATATAAGTCATAAAGTGAATAGTAAAAGTATTCAATCTTTAAGTTTGTAATTTTTACTATTTTAGCATATGATTTTTATAAGTATATATATGTTACTCAATCTGCAGTTTTTATTACAGAATCTGTAATGTTTGACATAAAATATGTAATTTGTAAAAGGTTGTGTAAAGTTTTATTTATTTTTTCCATTCAATCATTTGTAATTTAGAAATGTACTGTGTCTGTGCCAAGATTATCTTATTGCAAGACTTTTTTTTAATAATATTTAAACTTGTATATTGTTAAGTATTAATTGTTTCAAAATTTTAAGCTTAAGTTGAGTGAAAGTTCAAGTATGGATCGTGTATAAGTTTATGTTAGTGTTAAATTTAATCTATTATTATTGTGTAAAATAAGGTTTATACTTTTTATGTTATCCTTAATTGATGTATGTATTGTTTACCTAGAGAGGGTTGATAAGAAAAAATAAAAATAAATGAGAGTAGGGAACGAAAGGTCGTATGATTAAGCATTAACCGATTCAGAACATAAATTCTTGTCATGGCCGAAAAACAAAGAGCCAGAAGATTTATCAGGAGAGTCCATTAGAGTCCACAGGCTCATCCTTACTAAGGGGCTAAACCAAGTAAGAGTATGAAATATAGAATATTATTGCTTAATTATTCATGAAAAAAGTGTTACAATATCCAGAGGCGTATGAGTAATTACCTTCCTTCAAGAGCTAATTATAAGAGACAGATACTCCCTATAATATGTACAATCAAATCTGTCTTGCAAAAAGGGAAAAAGGAAAAAAAAAAAAATCTACAATAATTACACAATTATTATTTTGATATTTATAACATTTGTTATTCAAGAGTTCTAATAATTTCTATTTAATATATTAAAAGCTTTATTTTTATACACATAGTAATCAATGCAAGGATCACTTATAACTTAACATAAAAAGTCTAAGAATTTCCTAAATCCATCAAATAGTTTCTTATGTAAAGTAATTTATAAATCTAACTATTAAATTGTAATGACCATTAATATGCTGATCATGAATGCCACATTTTATACAAATTGAAAATCAACAAGTAGAAATTTAATTAATAAATTTTAAAATATTATGCATTATTTTTGTACAATATTAGTTGATATAAAAATTAACTAACATGAAATTTGTAAATATTGTATATAATATTATGTTTATGAATATTATAGATAATTTTAAAAGAAATTATAAATACCTCTTAAACTTTATCCAAATTCAAAGTAGTTACATGATAAACTTCTATATATGTGTTAATTACTTAAAGGGGATTGAAATTCTCATGTTACATAAGATTTCCATCCTTTTTTGCAGAGAAAACACGTCGCTATCAACTTTTTTTCTTTTTCTTTTTTAACTTCCATAGGACCCATGTTTTTTGTTTGTGCAAGAATGAGTTGAAAATTGTTTTAACCTTTACTTAAACTGTCAAAAATTTGCAAATAGACATTTTCTATCCTTGAGCTAAAAACTGGTAATCATTTTACCTTAATATAGTAATATGTAATTTGTTCATATCTTTTTACAAAGTATTTAAAAATCCATCTCATTTTAATTAATTATTAATTTCTATTTTGAAAATAGAAAATATGAAATAATTCAAAATAAATCAAATTAAGGACAAAATAATTTTATACTTTTAGAATATAATGAATATGGTTGACAAACCATATATTATAATGTGTATTATTAAGTATATAGAAGTCACTTGATGAGTATTTTTGTTTAACTTATGAAATGTAAAGTTTGTGAAATATTTGTGCAATTTTCCAAAATTATGTTACGATCAACTAAAAGTCCTAGTGCCACATGGAAGCTACTCTACAATAAATTGTGACATCTCTCCACCAATTCAAATTATGTATTAAAGTAGTTTGTACGAGATCATAATTTCAAATCTCAGTGTTACCATTGTGTCAAAAGAAAATATTTATTAAGGTGTGGATGAACTCCAACCACTACTTCTGGATCAACATTTGGCCAAGTTTATATCTTAAGCTTACTAGGTATTATTCATCTACTACTTAAGTATATTTTACCTTAGATTAATGCACAATAAAATTTTAGCATTGTTAATCTCATGAACATATATAGTTTACACTAACTTTGAAATTCTTTTCTTATTTGAGATTTGAGACACCTTAATGACAAGTGATATATAATATTATCAAGTACTCTACTCACCTTTAGTCAATTATTAGATTAGCTCGAGCTCAAGCCGCCTCTAATACTACTATTAGGTGGGTCAAGGGAATCCCGTGGTAGGGAATCACTACTAATGGGCTTAATTAAACCAACCACAACAAGGAGATCAAACACCATGTCTCAATCCAAAATTTTAAGTCATTGAGTTCATTGGTCCTACTACTTATATTGACTTCACTTAGCTCATTATCAATTAATGTGAGATTTATCACACTTAAAAATCCCAACACCACAAACCTCCATACATTTCCTTCTGATCCTACTTAAAATAACAATCCTACTACTATTTGTGGCTGATAATGATAGCTATGTTGAATTACTTGGCATTTGCATTTTTAGGATAATGTGATCATAATTTTTCACAACTTTAACCTGAATCATCTACTAAAATTTCTAGCTAGTACTAAATCTTATTTTTTGGTTTTTTGGATACATGTACTAAATCTTATTCAAAACATGCAATCAAGTCAGTTATCTTGCATTCATCCATGAACCTTTCAGATGGGTTTTTCATGGGATAAATAAAGTCTCACATGGCCTTAAGGGTTGGTTGGGTCAGATTTAACAGCACAAATATTTGTAATGGCATTCCATTTTCTTTTTATTTGACTAATTTTCCCTAAACCTCAAACAATATGGTATACTACCACATTTCGAAGAAACATAAGAATATGAACTAGCTAATTAAGTTTTGACTTTGACCAATTCAAATTAAACAGCCACAAGAGCATGTGCGAAAATGACTTTCACAAGCATAAGAGTGCATCACTTTTGATACGTACTAAGTTAATAATTTCTTGTCCATTGTCGGAGATATTTTCTCTTCCAGCCAAGCTTTGACTGGAAAGTCGAATTCAAACTCTACAAGTGTAAGCTTAATTATATAAAATGACTAGCTACTACGGTGCATCCCTAAAAAGGAGATATTCTTATATATTGTATTGTGGAAATATTCTACTATTTCATTAGAAACATAATATCTAATAAAACTGCATGAAGTGCGGCAGTCAAATTCCAGCTTTATTTTCTACAATTTCAACACATTAATTTTTTTTTTCATTAATAGCAAGCACGTTCTTGATAAGAACCTTGAGATACATCATCCCAAAAGCTAGTTGTTCAAAGGGTGAGGGTGCCCAAGATCTTATAAATACTTGCACATACAACCAATGTGGGACTATATATCTCAACACGCCCCCTCACACAAGAGCCCATTGGGCTTGAAGAGTGGACAATGCAACAGACCCAGCCCTACCTGTGCTAATAAATGCATGTCACAAGAGAAAGTGGGGGGCGGCGAGGCTCTGATACCATGTAAAGAACCTTGGGATCAGTGGCGGACCCAGGAAAAAAAATTTATGTCCGCACAATCAGTGGCGGGGTTCGGGGGCAGCATCCCAGAATTTTTTTTTTTATATAAAAGTTTAAATCAACGCTTGAACCCGCTCATAATCTAGTTGCTTCCATAACAAGCTGCAGACAATAGTTTGACCAATTATTTTCCCCCTAAATCTTATCAATCCTTCAAAACAAATATGAGAATATACTCCAGTACATCCATACATCATCATTCTATTTTGGGATATGTTATTTTACCTAACATTTTTCTGCCTACCTTTGCCTACCACTCTCCAATACCGTTAGATCAAAATCTCAAGAAGAGAGAAAAAGATAAATGTTAGTTAAGATTCTGATCTAACGGTGTTGGAGGGTGGTAGGTAGAGGTAGGCAAAAAAATGGTAAGTAGAATAACCTATCCCTTCTATTTTATAATGGTGAATAAAAAAGTTAACACTACCTATACAGAAGTAAAACAAAATCACAGTGAAGGTCTCGTCTCTAGATATTAACTTATTTGAGAATGTCAGACCTACAATCAATCATCTCTTTTTATAAAAATAAAAAAGGAAACAAAGGATGAAGAGAACGTGGAAATGAGTACGTGACAAGGGAGGAAGAATAAGTTTTCTTTCTAATCAATGTGCGTTGTTGCGTTGTTTTAATCATCTTCGTACGTTGTTACGTTGCTAACTAATATAAGAATAAATATCCTTTTTGGTCCCTAAAAAAAATTTGGTCCTCACTTTAGTCCATTATAAAAAAAAAATTAGTCACCTGATCCCTATGGACCCACTTTGGTCTTTCTGTGGGACTAGTGTAGGTCTTTTTTGAATTTGTGATGGACCACGATTTTAATTAAATTGATCTACTTTAAATTTTTTAAGGACCTCGAGACTAATTTTTTTTTGTAAAGGACTAAATTGAGAATCATGTTTTTTGTTAGGGACTTAAAAAATTATTTACTCCTAATATATATATTGAATCAAGAGACAAATAACAATCTACAAAAAAAAAAAAAAAAAAAAATTAAAATCAAAAAGTTTATGACCGCACTTGCGGGCCCGCAAGTGGGTCCGCCAATGCTTGGGATACACGACCTCAAAAGCTAGCTCAAAGGGTGAGAGTGCCAAGACCTTATAAACTCCACATTAGTTGCACATACAACCAATGTGGGACTATATATCTAACCAATATATATATATATATATATATATATATATATATATATATATATATATATATATATATATATATTAACATGGCTGTAAGACCTAATCCAATTATTTGGCAGGTGCTATATCTATATAAATGCGGGATTAACTGTACAACAA